CTTTTTGCCCATTCCCGGCCAGGTGTAGCTCGAATCTTCCCATGTAGGCGTCCCAGTCATTCGTTTCTGGGTTGAATGCCGGTAGGGAAGACGAGAATTTCGGGGTGGAAGTCATCTTGGAGTCGCGGATAGTTTCTTGCTTCGGAAGGCTGCGTGGAGGAGCTCTTGCTTCGAAGTAGATTGCTTGCCACGAGGTTGCTTGCTCTCTCTGGCTTCCCGCAGATCTCCCTCCAGTACGAGAGAGATGGGGTCTTCCGTCACACCTGCGGAGGGTCCCTCATTACCCCCGACTGGGTGATGACAGCTGCCCACTGCATCTCGTAAGTGCCCTCCCCCTTTTCTTTGGGGAGCCTCCCCTCCCCCTTTTCTCCTTGGAGCCCCCGGGGGTCCATCTTGGTTCTGAGCTGTGGCACTGGGTCAGGCCCCTCCTTCCTTCCTTCCTTCCCTCCCTCCTTTTTTCCCACTCTTTTCTTCTTCCTTCCTTCTTTCCATCTCTTTTCTTTCTTCTTTCCTTCCTTCCATCTCTTTTCTCCTTCCTTCTTTCTTTTTTCCAACTCTTTTCTTCTTCCTTCCTTCTTTCCATCTTTCTTCTTTCTTTCCTTCCTTCCATCTCTTTTCTCCTTCCTTCCTTCCTTCCTTCCTTCCAACTCTTTTCTTCTTTCTTTCCATCTTTTCTTTCCTTCCTTCTCTTTTTTCCAATTCTTTTCTTCTTCCTTCCCATCTCTTTTCTTCTTTCTTCTTTACTTCCTTACATCTTTTCTCCCTTCCGTTCCTTCCATCTGTTTTCTCCTTCCTTCCTTCCAACTCTTTTTCTTCCCTCCTTCCTTCCATCTTTTCTTCTTTCTTTTCTTCCTTCCATCTTTTCTCCTTCCGTTCCTTCCATCTGTTTTCTCCTTCCTTCCTTCCAACTCTTTTTCTTCCCTCCTTCCTTCCATCTTTTCTTCTTTCTTTTCTTCCTTCCATCTTTTCTCCTTCCATTCCTTCCATCTATTTTCTCCTTCCTTCCTTCCTTCTTTCCAACTCTTTTCTTCTTCCTTCCTTCCTTCGTTCCATCTTTTCTTCTTTCTTTCCTTTCCTTCCATCCTTCCTTCCTTTCCTTCCTTTCTTTTTTCCAATTCTTTTCTTCTTCTTTCCATCTCTTTCTTTCCTTCCTTCCTTCCTTCCTTCTTTCCTTCCTTCCTTCTTTTTTCTCCTTCCTTCCTTCTTTCTTTTTTCCAACCTCTTTTCTTCCTCCTTCCTTCCTTTCTTCCTTCGTTCCATCTTTTCTTTCTTCTTTCCTTCCTTCCATCTCTTTTCTCCTTCCTTCCTTTTCTTTTTTCCAACCTCTTTTCTTCCTCCTTCCTTCCTTTCTTCCTTCGTTCCATCTTTTCTTTCTTTTTTCCTTCCTTCCATCTTTTCTCCTTCCTTCCTTCCCTCTTTCCAACTCTTTTCTTCCTCCTTCCTTCCTTCATTCCATCTTTTCTTCTTCCTTCTTTCCATCTCTTTTCTTCTTTCCTTCCTTCCATCTCTTTTCTCCTTCCTTCCTTCCTTCTTTCCAACTCTTTTCTTCTTCCTTCCTTCCTTCGTTCCAGCTTTTCTTCTTTCTTCTTTCCTTCCTTCCCTTTTCTCCTTCTTTCCTTCCATCTCTTTTCTCCTTCCTTTCTTCCGTTTTTCCAACTCTTTTCTTCTTTCTTCTTTCTTTCCATCTTTTCTCCTTCCTTCTTTCCAACTTCCAGAGCTTGCCTGCTACAGATGCCAAGACAGACGGCCCAGAGAATGCCCCAGCCTCTCCCTGGCTCTAGTTTTCTGGGGATGTCAAAAGAGGCCCTCTGCAGATGCTCAGAGGCACTCTCTCTCTCTCTGACAGCCTGGTGGGGGAGATGGGGGCTGGAGTCCGACGTGCTGGAGAGAGGCCGGTCTCTTTCCCATCGGGGCAGGTCAGCCCTGCTCGGTCAAGGAGAGGCTTCCCCAAGCCCTCTGCGTACGGAGCGCCTCGTCTCTGCGCAGCCGGTCCCTTCTCCGCACGGAGACAAGGTCCTAGTCCTCCTGGCCCCAGGTAGACGTCAACCTGAGTAAGATCCTCGCGCTGTGGGCCCATCCGGGCCTTGCCCTGCCAGCACGGATTGGCAGTGCCCCAGAAATGCCCGTACCCCCCACCCTTGTCCTCCGAACAGCTGTGGCTCCTGGGGGCAGATAGGCGCCGGGGGGGGTGTCCAAGGCTAAACCCTGTCCTTGGGCTCGGAAGGGTTGGCATAAAAGGGGCTGCAGCTACTCCCTCCGTCCACTCTGCCATCAGCATGTGGAGACTCCTTGTCGCGTTCCTGCTGGCCACCGAAGGTAAAGCCCAGCACCCGGGCAGGGGCAGGCAGGGCTATGGGGCGCCTTGCTGGGCTCCTGGGAAAGCCGGAGAACGAGGGTCCCATGCCGGGCGAATCTTTTGCGGTTGGGTTTCCCTGCTTCCTTCAGCTGGGCTGGAGGGCTCTCCTTTCTCCCGGGCCACGGAACATCACTCCCAAGAGTTTGGGGGGGGGGGCTGGCTCTGGCCAGTCCTTGGAGGGCGAAGGGCTGTTCAGGCAAAGCAGGCAGGGGTGTGTGGGGGGGGGTGAGGGGGTGTCAGGCTGCTGTGGAAGCAGACACACCTGCTCCCTTTGCACAGCTCCAGGCATGGAATTGGCGTTTGCAGAAGAGGGGGTAGCGGCTGGGCAGTGGCTACCCCCAAATCTTTAGCCGACTCTTTGTACTACTATTTCACTGAGTGTGTGAGTGTGTGTGTGTGTGTGTGTGTGTCTACACACTCATGTAGAGAGTGAGTGGCCAAGAACATCTGGGAAACAGACCTAAAGCCGGAAAGCAACTCCGTGTGACTAGATCAGGGGTAGGCAACCTTGGCTCTTTTATGACTCATGGACTTCAACTCCCAGAATTCCTGAGCCAGCCATGCTGAAGGGAAAGGGAGGGGTTTCCAAGCTGAGCCATGCTGGTTCAGGAATTCTGGGAGTTGAAGTCCACCAGTCATAAAAGAGCCAAGGTTGCCTACCCCTAGACTAGATGGTGTGATTTTTTTTCCCCTTCCGCACAGCCCACGGCTGCGGGGATCCATCCTACTCCCCCGTCCGAACCGGGAGGGTAGTCAACGGAGAAGAGGCCATTCCTTACAGCTGGCCCTGGCAGGTAAGTGGGGCGACACCCCCTCCCCATTCCAAATAGCCCCACCAGAAAGGCAGGGAAAAGAGGGGGGGGCTTCTCTGGAGAAAAGCTGCCCGCCCTGGCAGAGATCATGAAACTGCTAACACAGCACACTCCGGAGGGGGAGAGAAAGGTCAGGGAGAGGGGGGATTGACAGTAACAGCCCACCCCCCTCTTGTTTGCTGCAGGTGTCCCTGCAGTACCAGTCTGGTGACTACTTCTACCACACCTGTGGGGGGAGCCTCATCCACCCCAACTGGGTGATGACCGCCGGACACTGCATCCAGTGAGTCCCCTCGGGCACCCCGGGGATGGGGATGGGGGAGTGGGCGCAGGACGGGCGGAGGAGCCCCTCCGCCCCGAACCTTTCCTGGGGGAGGGAGGTGCCTCTGCCCAACAAGAGGGCTGAAGCAGATCCAGCCCCCCTCCCCGATCTCACCCCGCTCCCCCCTACCATCAGTCCACAGTACCGCTACAGGGTCGTCTTGGGTGACCATAACCTGTTCACGGATGAGAGCACGGAACAGTACATCCTGATTAACTCTGGGGACATCATCGTGCATCCCGGATGGAACCCCAACTGCATCGCCTGCGGGTGAGTAGAAGCGCCCCTGCGGCAATGGAGGCAGAGGGGGGGTGTCTTCTTCCAAAGGAAGTCCCAGGCGGGGAAGGAAAAAGCCCCCCCCCCAAAAAAAACCACCGGCACTTCTTCCAGGGATGACATCGCCCTGATCAAACTCTCCCGCCCGGCTGTGCTCAACGACAAGGTGAAGCTGGCCTGCCTCCCCCCAAGAGGAGAGGTGCCCCCCAACTATGATCCCTGCTACATCACTGGCTGGGGCACGCTTTACAGTAGGTCCTGGCTGAGTGTGTGGGGGGGAAGGTGGGAGGGGGAAGGTGGGTCCTGGAAAGAGGGAAGCCATTCACCGGGTGTCGTTTCTTTTCCAGCTGGAGGCTCCATCCCTAGCAACCTTCAGCAAGCGCTGCTGCCAGTGGTGGATTACCCCCATTGCTCCGAGCCAGACTGGTGGGGAACAACGGTCAAGGAGACCATGGTGTGTGCCGGTGGGGACATCAAAGCCGGCTGCAACGTGAGTAGAGGCCCGGAGGGGTCTAGGGGACAGTCTGGGGTTCGGAGGCTGTGCTGAGATCCGGGCAGAGGAAGCTGGAAACTCCTTTCCTGGATTAGCAGGCCTGGCACTGCCACCCCCTGGCATTGCGGGGAAATAATAACAAAAATAACAACAACAACATAAACACCCCGGACATAACAATTGTCAATAAGAAAGACAAAAAAGTCTGGATAGTGGACGTGGCAGAGCCTGGAGACAGCAGAATAGACGAGAAAGAACCGGAGAAGATAACAAAATACAGAGACCTACAAATAGAAATAGAAAGACTGTGGCAAAGGCAAGCAAGGGTAGTACCAATAGTCATAGGCGCCTTGGGTGCAATCCCAAAACAACTGGAGCACCCTTTGAACACCGTCATCGGCATTGATAAATTCGCCATTAGTCAATTGCAAAAGGCGGCCTTGCTAGGAACCGCTTCCATCCTGCGACAGGATCTGTAATATACCATCAAACATCCACATCTGCCTATCCCAGGTCTTGGATAAGGACTCGATAGGTAGACAAAAATGCCAAATCCAGTCTGAACATCTGGCTGACTGTGCGATGATCCATAATAATAATAATAATAATGGTGAAGAAGTTGGAAGGGACCTTGGAGGTCATCTAGTCCAAACCCCTGCTCAGGCAGGAAACCCTACACCATTTCAGACAAATGGCCGTCCAGTCTCTTCTTAAAAACTTCCAGTGTTGGAGCATTCACCGCTTCTGGAGGCAGGTAGTTCCACTGGTTAATTGTTCTCACTGTCAGGAAGTTTCTCCTTAGTTCTAGGTTGCTTCTCTCCTGGATCAGTTTCCACCCGTTGCTTCTTGTCCTGCCTTCAGGCGCTTTGGAAACTCCCTCTTCTTTGTGGCAGCCCCTGAGATATTGGAACACTGCTATCATGTCCCCCCTCGTCCTTCTCTTCATTAAACTAGACATACCCAATTCCAGCAACCGTTCCTTATGTGTTTTAGCCTCCAGTCCTCTAATCATCTTTGTTTCTCTTCTCGGGACTCTTTCCAGAGTCTCAGCATCTTTTTTACATCGTGGTGACCAAAACTGGATGCAGTATTCTGCCCCTTCCAGCTTTGTGTGTCTGGGCAAAAAGCTCAGTTGCTGGAGAAACCACTCCGAGGATCCTGTCCCTGAGCGGGGGACTCTGTAAGCAGCAGCCACCTCCAAGAGAGACAGGATTATGCACGGAGGGTTGAGGAACGTCCTTATCCTGCCGCTCACAAGCTTTTCAGGCAGCTTAGGGAGGAAAAAAAAAACCCCAGCAAGTTTCTGAGGATGAACTGCCTATTTCAGGGTGACTCCGGCGGCCCCCTCAATTGCCCAGCTGCTGACGGCCGCTGGTACGTCCAGGGAGTGACCAGCTTCGGTTCGGCATGGGGCTGCAACACCTTGAAAAAGCCCACGGTCTTTACCCGAGTCTCGGCTTTCATCCCCTGGATTGAGCAGGTATAGCCCAGCCCCCATATTGGTGGAGGGGAGTGGGATGGAGAGCCCCCCTGCCCAGTTGCTGCCCCCTTCGGAGCTCCCGGTGTCCGTCCCTTCGCCTCCAAGCGGGACAATCCGTTCGACGACGTTTGCTGTGGAGTGATGCCGCCGTTTTCCAAACGGCTTTACCCTTTTCCACCTGCCCACTCGACAGCCTCTGTCCCCTTTGGGTCAGGGAGACAGAGGCAGGCTTGTGGGTCTAGGCCAGGGGTAGGCAACCTTGGCTCTTTTATGACTCGTGGACTTCAACTCCCAGAATTCCTGAGCCAGCACAGCTGGCTCAGGAATTCTTGGAGTTGAAGTCCACAAGTCATAAAAGAGCCAAGGTTGCCTACCCCTGGTCTAGGCCATTCTTGCACACTCCACCAACAAGCGCCCTCGCACGCTCCCTAATCCCAGGTCCTTGCTTTTTGCCTTGCAGATCATTTCCAGCTATTCACCTTAAGCAGAAACGGTGATGGCGTTTCCAGATTGAGTTCTTTGTGTGTGTGTAAAAAAAACAAAAACAAAAAAACCCCCACAATAAACGTCTTCCTGATGGCAGCACCGTTGTCCTTTTCTTGGTCTGGGTGAAATCCTCTCCGCTGTCATCCAGGGGGTGCCACTGTGTTTGGGGGGGGACACACCCGCCGCAATGGGGCGGACAATTCCCTGATCTCTTCATCCTCTCCGACCCCGGCGGACGAAGGGTGCAAAACTCCGCAGAACTAAGCCTGCAGAAGCTCGCCAAAGGTTCAAAGGAAGGGGAAACCTTTTAGTAGCTTTTAAAGAAAGTTACTAGTCACGACACGTGTTCCATTGTAAAAGGAGACACATGTTCCGTTGTAAAAGGAGACACATGTTCCGTTGTCAAAGGAGACACGTGTTCCGTTGTCAAAGGAGACACGTGTTCCGTTGTCAAAGGAGACATGTGTTCCGTTGTAAAAGGAGACACGTGTTCCATTGTAAAAGGAGACACATGTTCCGTTGTAAAAGGAGACACAT